TGTAGATAACAACTAGTAGAGAGGTTTATACACCTTTTGTTTGCTGTACTCAGAGCCAGCTCATGTAATGGATTTTTGTATTTCAAAATTTTTTTCCTGTGCTTGTATTTTTCGTTTAAGAGGTGGAATTACATATATTTGCCAAGTTTTATTGCAATCGGTTACCGGAAAGTGCACGAAACCGGATTCATCCCTTCAAATTTAAATGAGACTACTACCGGAGTACCCCCTTTCTAACAAAAAAGAATCCTCAAAATCAGTTCAGAAATCGCGTAACATACATACAAAAACAATGTAGCCGAATTGAGAAACTCTGCTTTTTTTTAAGTCGGTTAATTATAAAACAGCTATTTGATAATTGCTTAGAGGATGGAATAAGTAGTCTAAGGATAATTGAAATGAATAGTCAAATGTCATCGTGATGTTCCGTTGTCGTCGGATTTAATTGTCTTGCTTTGAAATATTCGTAAACATTATAAACTGCTTGTTTCGTTTGGATTTTAAACGGAGGACTCATCTTATGTTGCCAATCTCGTAGGCGTTTTACAAAGAGACCACAAATAAAATAACATGTGTTGACTCGAGCGAAGCGGGTATCTGACTGAGCTTTTACTTTGCGTCACCACAGCCCTCCCACTCCTACCTCAGGAACCGACTCAGTTAAGGCGAGATATTTCAACGCGATTCTACATTGTAAGAGGTGCGGTGTGGCTGGTGTGGGTGGTGAGGCCGAAAATTAATATGTAAATAATATGAAAAGGCGGGACAATTTGACACAGATCCAACGTCGACAAACGTCCGTGGCGACTGACGACTTGACGAAGCAACGGGCGTCGTTAGCTGCTGGGCAATTTTCAAATGTTGGGATAATTAATGTGAATTTAAAACTACAGAGCTTCAGTTGAAAACTAAAATTTAACAAATTCTCTAGTACTTAGAGAGAAATGTCTCCATATAAAAATTATGTGCAAAGTTCATTGACTTACAAATAGTTAGATATTTTATTTTTAAACAATTAATTTTAGACTTTTATTTTTGCCTGTTTTCAGGATTTTTATATGACGGAACGGAGTACATACCATCGTACACAACACATAACACATTAGCTCATTCTTTGGACGATATCCTTAGGTGTATCGTCTATTTTTTGTAAAACCGTTATTTAATAGTAAATACATAAACAATTTAATCCAGCAAAACAGTTTTTCCCGTTGCTCCTCCGGTGACTCGCGTTAAGAGATAGCAGAAAATAGAAAAATATTGTGTTTTATTTTAATTACTTATTACTTATATCTTCGTAGATTTTTTGTTAGTTAGACATTTGCTAAACGTAACCATAAACATAAAAATGTCTCATGTGGAATGAGGCAGACATAGGTAGTGATATTAACATCGGGATATATAATTAGAAATAGAAACGAACGAACTCATCAATGTTACATCACTTATAAATATCGAAAATTACATGTGTCATATTTAATTACTGATGCAATGTGATTTCGTTTGTTTTGTAATTAGATGTTATGCTATTTTTTCCACCAACGCTGAATGGAAACAGCCTCAACAATTGTTAAATATATTATCTTTACTACAATATATTTATACACACAGGTCAGTTGTTAGCGCTGTACTATTTCAGCTTTCTAATTTGTGATTTCAGTGCAAACGAGAGTTGATGTTTAAAAATGATATAAGGCCCATTTGCCCGATGTGTTGGATAGCCCTTATTTCGTCTCTATTTCTGTTTATATACTCGATGGCATGCGTTGACCAAACGATTATTAAAATGTGAAAATAATGTGGTGTACAAAGATTACTTATCAGTAGATCTACAAAAAAGGCAGCGACACGATATATCTTTTATATTTAAGCCAAAATAACGGTTTTAAAAATAAATTAAAATGCATCTTTAAGTGTCTACTAATTAGGTGTAACGAATGACAAATTGAGAAGCTGAGTGTGACAGGTGCGGAGATCAACACGGAGGAATATGTCCATAATAAGCAACCAACCAAGTTTCTTTTATATGTTTATCTAGTGATAGAAGTATATGATGTAATTTAAAACGGTACAAAGCTAATATATCATACATCTTGAATTCGACGCTAAAAGAAAGTGTTATGCAACTGTGGCGTTTGTCGCCACGGTATTATTACCAGGGTTCGAAATTGTCTAGATATTTACTTTCTTTGATAATTACTATAATAATTATCTAATTATCCGATAATTATCTAAGCTGATTCATAGTTTCGTTTCTTTAGTTTTTAACTAAAAATGACAAATGGTAAGAAAACTAAATAAACACGAAGAAAAATATTTGGGAGAATAATTTGGCTTGTGACTTTTGAATTTGACATTTGATGTATACGTTTCGGATACAAACCACTACAGGCATATGGGACTTGTTAACTTATATCTCAGGGTGACGGGCGCAGTGGTAGTGCTCCTCAGATTGCAGATTGCAATTTAAAGCTTTGAGTGGCACTGTAACTGTTATGGACAGGCGTGTAGCTTATAATCAGGCACACGACTTGTTCGTCCCGTCACTTGGTGTTATTAAAAAAAAAATGAAAAACCATGGCTCGGTAGTACAAAGGTTGCCATTTTGTTGTTCCAATTAATTTTATAAAGATCAAGATAATTATAAAAGTATATTTATCAGGACAATTATCGTTATAATTATCATTGTTATCTTTGAACCTTGCCATATATTTATTTAGAGTATAAATTTTGTTCTAGATTTTATAATGCATTTATTGCATATTATTTTAATTACCGATTTGCTTAATAGAGCGAACAAAGAACAGTATGAATAAATTAAGCTAAACTGTGTATGTTAATTTTTGTCGAAACCAAGAGCCGTACTTTCAATCTTTATTTCATGATAAATAAAAACCTTAAAAGTTAACTAATTACAACAACTAAATTATCAAAGTAACATATTATACTATCAAACAAATAAGCGTAAATGAAATTAGGTACTGGAAATGTTACTACGTATCGAAGGCACTAGGTTTTTCCAAAGCTTTTTCTCTTATAGAAATAAGATAAGTACTCATAAGAACACCGGCAATCCAACATGCTAAGCTTATTGTAACAATTAGAAGGTCTTTAATTAAAATCCAGTCTCCTCGTCCATAACGGTTTGGGTATAACAAACAAATTTCCATCATACATGGAAAAAGTATGGCAAGAAGATTAGTACAAAGGCTACCGCAGAACGCCACGAAGGGTCCTTGAAACGGAACCGAGTAACAGATTAAAACTGAAATAAAAATTAATTATATAGTAGCTTATAAAAAATGGGAAGGACTGTACATTACCACCAGACGAATTTAGGTGGGGAGGGGTGTGGGGAAGGGGGGAGGGGAGAGGTACCCGTACCTAAATTGAAAAATGATATTGCGATTGTTTACTTCAAAAACTGATTTTTTAATGATATCACGTGACGAGACGAACAAGTCGTGCGCCTGATGGTAAGCGACTCCCTGTCCAATAGCAGTTTCATGTACCTGTAATTTTGCCAGCACTCTTACCCTTCAAAACCGAAACACTGTAATGCACACATTACTGCTTGGTGGCTGAGGTAGCAGTACTTCCTTGGACGAAGTCTTTCAGAAGGAGCTCTACTGCTACTAAAATACAATTATTTTTTGTTTAATTTAAGTTGTGTTTCTATTTTATTTGTAATGTTAAGCTTTTTTTATTGAATACCACGATGTTTTGCTGTCATGATATTCAATTATTTTCGTGAATATATAATGAATATATGTAATATAAAGATGAAACACAAAGTAAAAATTCTTTGATCCGGCTGGACTCGAACCAGCGACCTCGCCATATCGTGTCTGGCGCTCTCCAAACGTACCTTACCTAACGAATTTCTCTATGTACTTGATGCGGGTGTCTGTTTTTGGTTATGCCTGTTTGGATTGCATGAGTGGTGTATACATAACTCAAAGTAACATTAAAGGACTGGTCGCAGAAACATTTTTAATAAATGTTCGAAGAAACGGAGGACTTAATTAATAAGACATGGTAAACATTGTAACATTTACATTACATATACTTACTTTTATATACTTATTTATATGGACAAAATCCAAGATTTATATCGTAACGCTCAACCAAGTACACACACAGCATACAACGACAAACGTGCACACACGCACACACGCAGAGACACACACACAAACATACAGTTTTATTTGAAATTAATACGGACGCTAAATTTCAACTTCATCTTAATATGTTCCTTGTTTAATAATGTCACCTAATTTTAAAATAGCATCCAATTGCATTGACTCAATAAAGATTATAAAGATTATTATACAACATAAAACTTTGTACGCCGCAAGCCCGATCTGTTATTCAAAATACATTTTTGCAATATATTTATAATCTGTTTGTAATGAATGCGAATATTCTAAACTTAAACTTCTCCAAAACAAATTTCATCCCCTTCTCTATTAGAAATAATACTAGACCTCATCCAAATTACAATTACATACATACAACAAAAACTCTAAATGTAATCAAAGTAATAATAACTGTAGCTGCACTCCCATATCCCAAACATTTAATATAAAATACCTTGGTGTCCACATTCATAGTAATCTAAATTGGTCACTCCAAATCGACAAGCTTTCCACGAGAGTTATACATATTTTTAATACAATCCGACAGTCCGCCGATACTGAAACATGATCTATTCTGCTCTCTACGAATCAGTCCTTACCTACTGTGTGTCGGTCTGGGGCTGCGCTACTAAAAGCTCTTTTATTAAAATTGAAAGAGCACAGTGAGCTGTGCACAAAGTTATTCGCTGCAAACCCTACAGATTTCGTACTAAAGAATTATATTCCACCTCTAGACTTTTGACTCACTCTTTGTGCTTCGTGCAATTTCACGAAAGCACCCTGGGATACCCCTGTCTGACCCTTTCAAAAGGAAAAAAAAAACGCATAGTATGTCCTGTTCTTCCGCACAAAACAACATTTTCATCTCGACAGTATCATATATCTAGCTCCATAATCTACAATCGTGTTAATAACATTCTGAACATTAACAAGTTAAATAAATATGAGGTTAAAGATACTTGTCAAATTGGCTTTTAAATCAGAACTACGATGACACCGAAAGTTCACTACTAAACAGCACCTAATACACGTACTCACTCACACACACATACGCGCGCGCGCACGCACGCACGCACGCATATTGTACTGATTTCCAAAATACAGACCTGTGCCTAGTTTGAATAATCAGAGTTCAACAATCAAATTGTACAAGTACCACTTAATTAGGTTTATGTGCAATTTTGTGGTACCTTGTTTTCATCTCTGTACAAATCTTTTTTGTTAATAAATTATTATTATTATATTATTGTTATCATATTATTACTATTATATTATCATTATTATGATTTGATTGCGTCCCACTGTGTGAAACGGGCCTTCACCACAGAACCAACAACTGATTTACAAAAAGTGTGGTAGGAGTAGAGCTCCTTGTGAAAGAGTTCGTCCAGGAAAGTACTGTCACCTTAACTATTCCCGCCAGGTGATGGGCGCTGTGGCACTGTCCCTCAGATCTTTGCGATTTAAAGCTCTGAGTGGCACTGAAACTGCTATTGGACAGGCGAGTCACTTACCATCAGGCACACGACTACAACAGTTTTTGAAGTAAACAATCGCAATATCATTTTTAATTTCAAGTACTTTACAACTTACACGTTATACGAACAAAAATCAGCGGGACACCGCGCGGTATTTTTTGCTATCCACAGCGGTAGTCATAAATTGCAATATCATAGTAGCGAATCGCAGCAGTCGCTACTAATCACTTTTGAATATATTTTATAGTATATTTAAGTTTTAGTTTTGCATTTAAATTCTAAATTTAAACGTGATTGATTTTGGCGCCTTTTCTTGACTGTAGTTTTCTGTTTTGCTTTGATAGTTGTACGTGTTTATAATAACTTAATAAACTATAAGTACACTTACTTACAAAAAAATATGCACATATTATTTATCGAGTTCTTAGGTTTTCGCGATTGTTGCACATAGGAAATGAAACTATTTTTCCGGATTTAAATCGCGTATATTTGTTTTTTCAAACAAACAAAACAATGGTTTGTGTGAAAAAACAAATATACGCGAATTAAATCCGGAAAAATAGTTTCATTTCCTATGTGTAACAATCGCGAAAACCTAAGAACTCGATATATAAGTACACTTGCTTTGGCCTTGCTCACTCGTTGTTAGCACCCACCCATTGATATAGTCCGCTACAAAATAATTTTGAAATTAAGGTGCTTTACAACTTACGCGTTACGAGAACAAAAACCGATCTGGATACCGTTTCAATTCGTTTCAATGTCTGTTTTGTGGGAACAACCAGAGGATCGTGCTTTTCTATGAAATCTAATATTACCATTGTTCCTGGGTAACTCTGCGATGAGTACGTTACCATTGCAATAACTAAATATAAAAACATGCATACTATCGTGCTCCTGTAAGTTAAAAAAAATATCCGTAAAGTACAATTGAGTAACATTTCATGTTCAGACATTTAACGAGGCGAAAAATTAAGCTTTTACTTTTAATTAGATGACAGTTTTTTATGGAAACACATTTTTAGTCCTCAGACTGTATCTAATATATTTTTTTTATGATACTAAATGGCGGGACGAACAAGTCGCGCGTATGGTGGTAAGCTCTGAGAGCTTTAAATCACAAAGATCTGAGGGGGACTGCCACTGCGCCCGTCACCCGCAGACATAAGTTGACAAGTCCTATGTGACTTTCACCAGCACCTTACCCTCCAATGCATTTTTTTTTTTTTTTTTTATTTATTTATTTTAAACACTAAGAATATTACAAAAATATATATACATCACACCCTTAAACCTAATAATAATATGGGACAGGTGTGTCGCTTACAACGACTTCTCCGTTCTACCACTTGGTATTGTACGATCCATAACGAATTCAAATGTATGATTCTACGAATATATTAGTGAATGCATTTCTTTTTCTTACGCGTCATCATAAGGCAAGGATCTAAGTATATTCTCCTCCATAGTACCAAATGCCCAATATCCCAAAGTTCCGTATACAGCTGCAAAGAAAGTTGGCAACATAACTCCTAGTTGTATAATACCAAATCGTTTGGTCATTAGTTCTGGACTCTCAATTCTTCGATCGATAGCCAAGATCTGAAACAAAGTTCACTGGTTAACACATCAAACTCAAGGCACCATCAACATCATATTTACCTTAGCACTTAATACGTGGAGCCATGTTGAATGTTGAATTTCGTCGCTTAGCAAACAACACCGCTCCAATAATTAGCAGTAATTTTAAAGGATAGTGAAAAAACTGCACTAATATTATTGCATACAAGATTTTCTAATCTATTATTGATAATAAGTGCTCTATTCATGGACACATAATTGTGTATGAGTTGGTTGTAAAATTTTTATTGATATTCACGTTTTATTTGGGCTTGAGTAACGTTCAAAAGTAAAACTCGCCAATTTTCGACTTCAGTGGTGTTGTTTGCTAAACGACGATTTGCAATACTAAATAAAGATCTGACTGTTGAGTTGAGTGTACCTATTATAGAAACAGAAATATTATAAATCAATTTATAAAAATTACTTCGCAAAGTTATTTCTATTACAAATTTAAACTTAAATATAAGTAAAATCAGTACTAAAATCAATGCCCCGATAAAACCTTTACTTTGTCTTTAACATTTGCTAATATAATATAAACTTAAAGTCCTACCGAAATGCGTTTTGAAACTGAAATGCATTTGGAGACAATAAATTTATTATCAATAATTAATTTTGTTACGTATCATTGTTGTTAATTTGAATTACTGTTGCAGTTAATTCACTAATGTTTATTTTACACAACTTAACACGATGAAGTTAGGTCCGACGGAAAAAAATTTGTGTTGGGACCATTGGGACACATCGATATTATACAGTCGATCAACTCAACCAGTCGAGAAATTGTAATTTTTTAAATGTTAAGTGTTTTGAGCTTTATTGCTATTTCACTTCGTGTTTTTTCGGCTAATTTGTATATTTTAACTGCCTCTGTGGCCGAACGGTTACCACGCCGGACTGCCACGCAGAGGTCCAAGGTTCGATTCTCGGGCCGGGAGAAATATTTGTATGGCCTACATTTATTTCTCTCGTGAGTTTGGGTGTAATTTGTGGTTGTCTATGTGTGTCCATGGCACCCGTAACACAGGGTTTCCCTAGTGCGGTGCTATGTCGAGTGTGTGCGTTATTATTATTATTATTATTTTGGTGAATTTTTATACAGTGTGTACCAATATACCATATATTATTTAGGTGTGCTTGGTTATATCTATGAAAGTTAACTGAGGAACAACTATTATTGACACCAAACCTTTTCTCAGTTATTCGTGAGGCAAGACTGTAATAATTTGAGTTGATTTCAGTCATTACCCTTTCAGTCATATATATTATATACATATATGTGAAGATTTTCGATATATATTTTTAAATAGATTCTAGATTTCACTGATCGTGTCTCATCTCTGGCTCATGAAGTTTGATATATATCATCTTAAGCAACCAAAATTTTACGGAGTATGACTATTTTGATTATGCTAGGGTTGTGATCTATCGATTTATTATGAGGTTTTGGTAGATCTTTACTTACTACTCCGATACTGCTCATGTTGAACAACACAGTCGAGAAACAAAACAATAAGTTAAGAATTTTTGTGTTGATATGCATATATTCACCGTGAGGATGTAGAAAAATATGGTAAACTATGATTCCTAGGCCTGTCAAAGTCACGACGTTAGCTGAAAAAAAAAAAGATTTCATTATTATTATTATACATTATATACCGTTTAGAGCTTACGGACGAAATGTCCACTCTCGGAGTACTTGCTACGCAGTGGGGATTTCTGGGAGAAATTCTCATCAAGAATTATTATTTTTACCTATTAAGTATATTAAATATTTAGGTGACAGATGCGTGGTGCTAATGTCACGTCAAACATCACGCGTTTTTTACTATGTCATTGATCTAGCGCGCGTTGTCTTTAAAAAATGTAAAAGTTTCAACAGGCTTGGCCTTTTTTGATATAGCTTTGTTAAGTTGTGTCATGATTGTTGTTCGATTACGCTGACTTTTCTCACACGTTTAAGAGCGAAAATAAGCAAATTGTTGAAGTACGCATTTAAGAATAATTCAATATTTTAAAGGTACTTTCAAACTCTATATTAAATTTTATGAAAATACAATCTATTTGTCGTCCTCGTTTTGATGTGACATTGGCACTAATAAATAAAATAATATCTTGGTGGGTAATTTTTTCCACAAATCCCCACTGCATAGCAAGTCCCCACATATTAATGAGGGTTTGTGGAATAAAACTGATTATATAATTTTAGAATCCCCACCTGTGGGGATTTATGGAACAAACCAAAAAGTTAGCTATCTACATTGTTCTTTCGTGTTCATTTCCGTAAAATTTTGAAATTATGTTGATAGGTGGTGTAAGGGACAAATGGTGATACTCGCTTTAATTATTTTTGTTAGCTTTGATTGTTTTTGTTATTACGGATATCACAATCAGACTGTTTTAAATAAATACAAGCTTTGTCCAAACTAAGGAAGCATCTTAAGTGTCCTGGGCCTGTAGTTGGGCTGGTTTCTTCTATCCTTTAACCCAGACATGTGGCCATACCTAATACCTATCCGAATAATAAACATCGGTGGCACCTATACCTTACCCACGTGGATTTTGATCAAAGAACCTTACTAATTCTAAAGAAGACAATTGAATATTATTCAAATATTACATTCTTAGTGTGAAAATACGTTATTGATATTTCAATAGTCGTCTTCATCTTTATTTCAATAGTTGTCCTAACTTTATTATTAACTAGATGTTCTCGGCATGCGTTCAATGTCATTAAAAACACCATGTCTTTAGTTTAACAAACTATGCCCTTACAACGACAAAGGAAATTTTATTGCAATCGGATAAATAATAACGCATCCGGGACAAATATATAAACTTTCAATTTTATGATTAGACCGTGAGTTTTTCTAAAAAAAAAAATTATTTTAAATACGTAGAATATCAAAAGTACCTGTTCTACTAAGAGAAAAAAATCAAGGCAATGTTTACTATAACTGATGGCGTCTTTTAAAAATTATATCTTTCTTCTCACTAGTAATAATGTAAAACTGCCTTTATTGTCGAACGGTTACCATGCTGAACTATCATGCAGAGGTCTCGGGTATGACTCCGGGCCGGGAGATATTTGCATGGTCTACATTTATTTCTCTCGTGAGTTTGGGTGTAATTTGTGATTGTTTACCAATGTATGTGTCCATGATACAGGGTTTCCCTAGCGCGGGTCAAAAACAAATTTGCTTGGACACAGATGCGTTATATTTCTTGCATACTTAACATATTGCAGAGTTATTTCCAGCATATCGTGTGAGTTGATTGAAGCAGTAAAATAATTTGAGTTAAATTCCCATTATACCGTCTAATATTGCCAACCTGTCCAATAATAGCTCACCCGCCATAGCCACAACGCTGATTTGCATTAAAGACCGAAGGTAGTGTTGTAGAAACAAGTAAGGCAGCAACAGTATTAACATGGCAGGAATATTGGACTGCCAATCCATGATCTGTAAACTCATTTTATCTCACAGCGGTTACACACGTCGATTTTCAGCAGCGCGTCTGCAGTGACTCAAGCGCAGGCCACACAGCGAACGAAGCTAGTTAACTTAGCTCAAGTCACGTAATTGTATGCAAAGTTAAGAAAATACGTAGTAAGTAGTGATTGCAATGACAGCCACATGGGACTTGTCAACTTATGTCTCAGGGTGACAGGCGCAGTGGCAGTGCCCCTCAGATCTTTGCGATTAAAATACTTTGATTTAAACTTTCACGATTTTCACACATTCTTTGATTTTTTATTCGGCACTTAATCACGTATAAAACATATTTTAATTACTTCGACATTTCGGACGTATCGCAACGTCCTTTCGAGACCATGGACGTTGCAATACGTCCGAAACATCGACGTAATTAAAATATGTTTTCTACGTGATTAAGTCCCGATATAAAAATCAAATAATTTTGCGATTGAAAGCTCTTAATGGCACTGCAACTGTTCCATAACAGTTGCACACAGACGTGTAGCTTACCACCAGGTACACGACTTGTTCGTTCCGTCACTTAAAAACGAACAAAGACTGCATACGTGTGAAGGTGAAGGGCAGCAGAAGGGTGACATATCGCACTGCTATTACAATAGTGTTGTAACTTAAAAATATGTCGAATTCAAGATTATACTATTGCTGAATGTAAAATTTGATTCTCTAAACGTCAATAACACCGTCGTTAGCATATTGTAAGAAATAATTAAATATATAATATCTACTTAATTCAAAATGAATCCTGAGCTAGTTCTGGACGAAACCCTCCTCAAAAATATAAAATTATTTTTTTCTTTTTATTTGTAAATGTATTTGGCAAGTAGGAAATTTTTTAGATGTCTGTAATAAACTTTATCTTATACATATATTTTAATAACATTTCATGAGAAGTGAGCAATTAGTTTTTCATCGATTCCAAAAAAATATATTTTTGAGTTAATATACTATTGTGTTAACAGTGTGATATTTTACATACCTCTTTTTTTTACATACCTAGCGGGATTGTTGGGTCAATTCAGTTAGCTCGGTTAGCTTAGTTCGCGATGTGAATCGAAGTATAAAAAGACACAGCTGCGTGAGCTAAGCTAAGTTAGCTTAGCTTCGTTCGCAGTGTGGCTTGCGCGATTTATACAGCGATACAATCGCGATGCAAACGCAATACGCGTTTTTAATTATTATTTTAAAATAATTGCCTCGATTCAACTGCCTATAAATCATAAATGTCACGATACAATCAGGCGTTCGTATCATTGCTTAAATTCGCCGTGCGTAACCGGTCTTAAAGCATTGTAATAGCTATATATAGTTTTCGATACATTTTACGTAATCTTGTATCGATTTATATAGATCCTTAAATTAAAATGACAGCCGAAGAAAGCAGCAAAAAGGCGTAATGCCGAAGAAAGCAGCAAAAAGGCGTAATACCGAAGCCGTATCTCTAGTAGAAGTGTAAAATAATATAATATCATTGTTGACAATTGTCCCAGTCGATGGCGACCTCTTGTAATCTTTAAATTTTACACAGCTAATAGAAACTCATGGTAGAGGCACATAAAAAAAAACCACTACGCTCAGGGGTGTTAGAATCGGGTAGGAAAAAAAGGAACGACTAAAATAACTTGAAATGAATGGAGAATGAAGCAATTTTTTCGGCTCTAAATCACGAGTTGTTTGTTTTTTTTTTCAAACAAATTAACGTTTCGAGCACTAAAATTAATATTACTTGAATATATTTAGGTGATAAGCATTTATTAATCCGCGACATGGACTTTCACTGCTGCAATACTTACGCATTGTATGTAATTTATAACTACATATTACTACATATATGAACCCTAGAGCACCTGTACGTTATTTAATTGTAAGGGAAACGCAAATAAAGTTCTTAAAATTGTAAATTGAATTGGCTTAAAAATTTTCGTTATCTACCCGATTTCCTTGACCATGTTTTTTGCTACGAAACACTATAGATGTTGCGATACAATATACAATGAAGATGCATATCTTCAGACAGATTCAGAGCGTGGTCAAAGACATTTTGATAGTTATTAATCGTATTACACTGCAGAGCGCGTGCTGCTTGCCTTATGTCACTTAAGCTGGCTTCTCACGGCCTGTTGCCTCACGGCTCGCACCAAGAACGTGCGATGGGAAGAGTGCCGCTAGCGCCAGCACAGCTACAGGCTAGTAAGGGCCCGTCGGATTCACCGTTTATAGGTAACTTCAAATGCGCACGGCGCGACCCGGGAAATCAAGGGCCGTGGGAAGCCGCCTTCAGATACCTAATCGCACATTTGGCGTAATAAGGCCACATCTTCAAATTACAACTTTTCTGGACAGCGGTTTAAAGGTTCTACGAACGAAATTAGTTGATTAGTTTTTATGCTTAAATAGGAGACTTGTAAAAAAGCCCTTTTGTCGTATAATCACATAAATGTGACTTTCTTATACCAAAATTACGAAATCAACCAGTGTTAATATTGCCAAGCCAATTTGGACGAATAATGATAAATATAAACCAATATAAATACACGTGAAAATACTTGATTTTACAAGAGCCGTAGAACAAATATTTTAATGATGGGAAATTCATGTTAAAAGCTTTGGGTAAAAAAAATAGCTGGGTGTCATAAATAGATTACTTAAGTTCATATAAAATCATGGAATCGCTTGAGAAAGTGTTCGTGGATCATGAACAAACAACATAATGTATGTAAATGTAACATGCAAAAGATAATGCAAAAAATTAGGATTACTAACATCGCGTAAAGAGTCTGCCGTGAAAATGTAGCAGACAGTGCAAATTGAGATCTGACTCAAAAACATGAATATCGATACTATTATTCTGAAAAACAAAATAATTTTTTTTATGTTATAAGTGAGGTCACTTTTTACTTTAGTAATACGAGAGTCATCCAGAAAATAAGTTCCGTTTTTCGATTTTTAAATCTAGTTTTTATTGAAAAATGTTGAAACTTACAGGAAACGTTCTTGTCAATATGTATTATTTTTCTACAATCTTCGGCGATCTCAATGCAATACGTATACTGAGAAATAAGCCTTTGAAATCCTCTATTCGTAGATTAGGCTTCCCGCCACCTCCTTAGTTGAGTTGATGACTGTTTCTTTCACTTCCTCGTCTCTTGTGAAACATTCTCTGGCTAATCCCTCTTTCATTTTGATGAACAGATGAAAGTCTGAAGGGGCCAATTTGGGGCTGTAAGGTGGATGATTCATAAAATTCCAATCGAACTGATCCAAAAGTTCTTTAAAGAACGAGTAACGTGAGGCCGTGAGTTGTCGTGGAGAAGGCAGCGCCAGAGGTCAACATTTTTCTTCTCTTGTTCTGGATGGCACGATGAGGCTTCTTTAGGGACTCACATTGCATTGTTTCTTTTTTAGGCAAAAACTGAAGAAATTGAGTCACTGCGCACAACAATTCGAGGCCAGGCACCCAGGTGGCGAGACGTGACCTCGAGGTCTCCATTTCAACGACTTGATGTGACCGTGTTTTTAGGGCTACCGTAGCCCTTCACCTCTTATTCTATTCAGCAAGTTCTCCTCTTTCCTACAATATTATCAGATTTGGAAAAAAACCCCAACGACCAATACAACAAAACGGGAATTATTTCCTGGATGACCCTTGTACTAGTGATTCTATACTTGACCAGAGTTTCGTATAATTTGAAAAACTACCAAGTGCGCATTATTACTTATGTTAACAGAATCACTCTATTCGTGTTATTACTTTCACGATTTACTGCCTCTGTGGCTGAATAGTTACAATGCTGCCCTGTCACGTAGATCTCGTGTCCGAGACTCCTGGGCCGGGAGAAATATTTGTATGGCCTACATTTATTTTTCTCGCGAGATTTCCCTAGCGCAAAAAAATTTGTTTTATTTTTGTCACACAGGAGCTGACTGTACTTCGTTTTATATTAAATTTAATACTTTAAGCTAATCTGGAATCTGGTCTTGAATCTTTCTAGGTTATAAAATGTCGTACTTACGGTCCATTATGTCCTAAGACATGGAAAATAGGAGGCCCGTGTAGTAGACATACGCGAAATCCATACCTGTAGGATATTCTGGGGATTTTTAATTGACGACATACTTCGTTACAACAGTCGAGCTAAAACGAAATCATGTTGGATATATACATACTTGTGTCAGCGTATCAAGGCGCAAAATTAAGATTTTTAAAACGCTACAACACAGATCACATTTCGCTAAGGGACACTGCCTGTAACCGTGTTACAGGCAGTGTCTCAGTGTCAGTGCCCTTGGTATGTTTTGTTGAAAATAAAAATAGAAAAGAAAAATTGGAAATCAAGAAGATCAAGGAATGTGCTAGAAAAGCAAGGTTAAAAAACGATCCAATTATATATGAAAGGTTTAAAGAATACGATAGACAGAGGTATTGAAAGAAAAAGCGGAATGAAAGGTTTTGAAGTTGCATGAATTATCTCGTCATGTATAAAAAGTAATGAAAGATATTAAGGGCAAGTTCTAAAAAATTATTGCTTATATAACTACCGATTGCGTTGTAAGAAAGAGATATGGAATACTTTGTGGGATTGAAAATAGACTGCAGATCCAAACTGAAAATTGTTGTTAATTAAATGGGGTGAAATTTTTGATTTATAAATAAATTGTAGTGTATAAAATTTGTTTAATAGTTAGTCATATTTGTAAATGTTTCTATAGCCTTTTTCATAGTATTTTACACAAATATTATGCCTTTTGTTAAATTGTCCTGATTTCGGCGGTAGCTGATTCAGTGGATCAAATATATAATTAAAAGTTAAGAATCTAGTTGCCAAATGCCTAATTACATTAAAAATGAAGAAAATCCCTATTTTTCTACTATTTTATAGTACCAATGAAAATACTGATGCATTAAATATGCACGCTACACTAATCAAACTTTGAATACTATTTAATGCATTAAGCAAAATTGTAATACTTAGTGATTATTTGGTACCTGAAAGTAAATCCAATAACTCTTTGACTTACTATACAAATTTAAACTCAATTATATTGGTACCAAATACCTATTAAACTTTTACAAACGTTAGCTTTTTTATTTCTTTGCTCATGTTTTATGTTTTCGACCCAGGTCGGTAACGCAAACAAATTCGGTTCTCGTGAGAGGTTCATAAATCTTTCAGAAGGTGTCACTTATGGCGAGTCGAAAAAACCAAATACAAAGGTCAATAACAGACACAGAAGAATTTCTTCGGCTTGCAGACTCGACCTGTAGCTCATTTGGCAGAGCGACGCTATGGTAGAGCGTGGTCTCAGGTTCAAGTCCTTGTTTTCTTTCACGAGAGGAGAAAATCCTCATGGATACTGTACGACCCGTACCGTACAGCATGACCGGCTCCACAGAGAACATGTTACTGCTCAGTGTCCTACGGACAAAAACCTTCTCCATGAAGGTGCGTGTTTTCTTACACACACCATTATTGGCTTGTCTATCTCACTTATCTTTTTCCCCTTTACTCATCACTAGCTTAATATACGATTCACATATCTTCCAATGCTCTTTGCTTACTAACATTGTTGCGACCAGATTCGCTTCACAAAGCTCTTCATTTACTTGCGCCGCCTGGCTTGCATTCAAACAGAGCATGCAGGTTCAAATTCAGTCAGTTCGTAGGAATATTTCTTTGAGTTCGAAATTATCTCAAACTAGTATAGGTATTTCACAAAAAAAAAATCAATATTACATTAATTAAACTTGTTTAGTCGGCCGTGTCGCTTGCCGAAAGTGAGCAAGTCGCTCGACAGTTCACAATTCACTTGCACATGGTAGGTTGCCGCTTTCGGCGTGTAAGCAACATCGGCTTGTCAACTTAATGTAAACACGCCACTACAGGTTCGAAACCTACAAGCTCGAAACGTACATTATTCATTTATTCGTAGGTTAAAAACCGAGTTACTATTTATAAAAGGGAATCTCTCACCATCATTATTTGCGTATGCGTCAAGGTCATACCGATAACAACACACATTATAGGACCCACAATCATTCCAGCTTGACTGATTGCCAACGGGATGCCGAGAAAACCAGGACCGAAGCCAAGCCTGATTAAATCGAAGTATGCCATCCATGGTCTAGAAAACCATTTATAATTAAAAATAACAATATTTGTAAATGATGAATGAGTACATTTATCACAAGAATAAAAAAGCCAGTCAATGTCATCACATTATTATGCAAATGGTTTTCTTCGTCCATATTCCAATGAATCTAATATGGAATGGATTAGAAAGGCGTACGAAAACAGAGTTGTTTTTGGTGGGGATTGTTACGTTATTATCGTTAATAGCAAATGCGTAGCGTTTGTGGACAAAATAAATCACTGAACTCCACCTTTTACATGGCAAACTCGTGACATATCAACACCATTTGAAACGATCGCCGGCGCCAACTTCATTGTATTACAATATATTTTTTTTTACTATTATGGAACTAGAACTTCAAAACGAGCTTTTCTTAAATAATAGCTATTTACATAAACGTCTGCCTATTTTGTTATTCAGTTTATTATAGTTTATTCAGTGAAATATACTCCCGGGCACATAATTTGAGCCACTTGGCATTGTCAGCATTAGATGTCCTTAGCTTATATAATGTTTGATTGATCAATAACTAATTCAAATTTGAAACTGGTGTACTAAACGACATTTTCAAAAGGTTTTGTTGAAAATTTGAATTTGCGAAACCGGGAAAAACTCTTTCTTCAATCATAATGTTTTTTTAGTACTTGAAAAATGAAAATGCAAGATGGCTCGATTTATGTGTCCGGGGGTGTGTTTTCTCTGGAGGTAAAAGAAACAAAAATTTGGATTATTAAAAAAAATTAAGACTACGTGTGACAGACAGAGATGACCTTAATGATTTTATTATTATAATACTTATTTTTTATGGAGAATAAAATTTTGTTTTAAATGTTTACGTGATTGGTTTGAGAGGTTTTCTATATTTTCTTGGATCGTAATCATTATCATCAGGAGGTATAAACGGTAGCCGAACCGTCGTTGTGTCCACACTCTCTATTGATATTCTCGATCCAATATAAGGTACTTTAGTCTGACTTGCGTACTCAGAAGTTGCCCTGAAAAAATAGTTTCAAATTAGTGAAAGTAAGGAATGCAGTATGGTACGTATAGTTACCAAAAAACTACAGTCTTTACGAATAAAGTTTTTCGTAAAATATGGAAAATATGAAGCCATTGTAAAGAATTGGTCTAGGACATGATATAAGCACATGGTATAAGGGCGAATATTTATGTAGACATCGTAGCTTTGGTCGTAACGTCCACACACGACGAGCTACGACGTAGCCCACGCTTTTACATCGGTTAGAAATGCAATGCTGTCTTGCGAAATAACTATAGCGATTTGTCTTTTACAAAACCCAAACCCGACTCAGCTTAACTTTTTGTTTGTATGCAAACAAACAATTTTCGCAAATTTGAACTATATTGTTAATAAATTTTTGTTTATTATAAGCATTATTCTACTTACATTATCTACGTTATAATATTGATGTAAATTTATATATAAGGAAAATTCGGCACTAATTACATAAATTATTTTGTATTATAATTAAAAGCCTTCTGTTCGAAAGCTCTTGTGAGCTAGTAGTCGTGGTAGAATATTTCGTTTTAATATTTTTTAACTATAATTCCTTCGATAAATATACGCGTATCCTCAGATTATTACTAATTTTACAGATAATTCTTTGACATAATACGTCAATAGATCTGCTGATTGACGTGATTTTACCTTCCGTCAAATAACGTTCAAAGTGTTGAGGGAGAAAAATAATATGAAATTCGAACTACCAACTGCCATTTCGTATGTTTTTGTTTTGCGAATTTTGTCGCAGAAATACTTTATTAACCTTCATCAAAAAAAGGAGGATGGTATCAATCCGACTTTTTTTTGTACGTATGTTACGCGATTATCCGGCCATTTGTGAACTGGGATGGGAATAGGCTAGACACGACTGTCGTCCAACGATAATAAAACGTGACGACATAGTAGGAGCGGGCCCAAAGGGTGGCAAACTTGGAGATAAATCCGGTTTCGCGCACTTTCCGGTAACCGATTTCAATAAAACTTGGCTAACAGATGTAATTCTACGAACTTTTGAGGCCGTTTTTTTAGTACTGTATAATGAGATTATAAACACTGCATTAATTTTACGCTACAACATAGGAGGACTCCAAATTACCAGGATGAACTTCAACAGTTTTTTAAGAACGAACAAGTGCTGCTCCTCGTGATAAGCGACACGTACCTATAACAGTTACAATGCC